ATAAGCCCAGGTTTACAGGGCTATTGTGAGGCTGGGTTGGCTGAGAGGCCTCTATGATCCCCTGAGGCTGGCATCCTTAAAGATACCCTATCCAGCTCTGCGGCAGTGTAGAGGCCTGGGCTTTCTTCCCAGCTCCTCTAAATGCATAGAAGATTCCGGCCATGTCTAGAATAAGGCTGAGCATGGACAGGAAGACAGGCATAGAAGGCCAGCTCATCCTTTGCAAGGACTGCACATATCTGCCTGGGCCTTTTTGTCCTCTGTACAGTGACAGCCTCTGATAAGCTGCTGTCCTAGGTCTGGTCAGACTGTACCACTTAGGTCACATTCCTTGGGACACTCTGCTTCCCCACAAGCAGGCCTGTAACAGGGGCTGTGAGGACTGTAAGAGACTATGCGTGTTCTGGTACACCCCTGGCATTCAGGATCCCTCCACTAATGCTGGTCAAACAAACAAAAACAACAAAAAACCTACCTGAACAAAGCCCCTTCGTACAGACAGGGCAGGACTGAAGTCTGGACTAACTGAGCTCATGGCCCAACTCCACTGCTTACTGGCCAGAGCCTCTCTCTGGTCCTTTCCCCAGAGCACACTGGGCTTCTGTGTGACATGGGACTACCAGAGCTCCTCTGGAGAGAAGAGGGTCAGCCCAGGAGAGGAAAAGTGAGAGCGAGGAAAGTTCTGGCAAAGGAGAGTACAATGCATATGCCAGGCAAGTAACTTGGGCTCTGATCTCCTGCCCAGGGGTAAACCCCTTCTGCTTCATTATGGATATGCTGGGCCTCACCCAGGGCAGCCCTAATCCCTGCTCCTGTGCAGCACTAAGGCCTCAGCTCAGGCCGGGCTGGGACTGGGAGGGGGGGGCAGGGATCAAAAGCAGAAGAGATTAGCATCATAGAGAGCCCCTGAGGGTGAGCCTGGATTAATTCACCCCTTCACTGCAACCCCCCCCCTACACACACACACACACACACACACACACACACACACATGCCCCCATGCCTCCAAGGGCTCTGGGAGGCTGCCTGGGCTGGGGGAAGGGTCCCTTTTCATTCTAGGGCCCTACCACACACCTGAGACCCAGTAAGGGTAAGGACAATGATTTGGACAGACTGACAGGGCAAAGCAGGTCTCATAGCATCTTTGAGGCACAGGCCTAATGTTCTTCAAGGACTCCTTAGTCTATGCTATAATGCCTGCCTTCAGGAGCCATGGTTGAGCTGTCCTAAGCTGGGGGTGGAACAGGGCCCAGCATGGATCTGCCCCTGTAGACACCAACAGAGCTGGCAAGTCTTTGGCAACGGAAAACAGGTGTGAAAGACTGAGCAGATATGGTACCTGCCACCCCAGTCCAGGCATGCTGGCTCCTCTGGTCCTATGGCCTCTTCTCTCTCCCCCAGGTACTTTCACCCATCTCTTGCCTCATGAGGTTTCAGCTCCCACCTCATGCCATCTGTTTTGCCCTTCAACGGACTCCAAGGTCCACTCTTCATGCCTCTTCTGCAGGAGAAAGTAAGACTCAGAGAAGCAGAAAGATGAGCCCAGTAAGAGGTGAGTGAATTCAGAGCTATGGAGCTTCCAGAGAATCCGAGTATCAACTTGGCCCAAGTCAGGCCAGCTATCTGTGCTCTACACTCTTCCAAAGCCCATGAGCAATGCATGGTCTCTGCTCCCCTGCCCAACAGCGTGCACAGAAATACGAGCCTTCTACCTGGACGGACCTCTGATGCTCCCCCACTAACACACTCGGCCTTTGCTCCTCTGTCTACTTTTGTGAAGACCCATCACAAATGCCTCTCAGTGAGCTTCCTCCCATTGCCTTATCCATCAGTGGCCTCCCTCTTCCCTAGGCAAGGGCCTGGAGATGTTCCTCTCTTGGGTACTAACCCCTTTACCTGTTGAGAAGCCCAAAGGGCAGATCAGTGGCTCCTCTGTCTCCAGGCTGGGATAAGGATGTGCAAAAGTGGGGAACATTATGGACACCCCAAACCTCAGCCTCTACAATCCACAAGGCACACTCATAGCACTGCCATACAGCATCAAGTTTAACAGCCGGGGCCTTGAAACAGATTGTCCTGGGTTCCTATCTCGGCACTTTTACCCAGTATCTGTGTGACCTTGGGCTTATGTAACCTGCCTGTACCTTAAATTATCTTTCCATTTGATTGGTTGGTTGGTTGGTTGGTTGGTTTGGGGAAAGGTTCCCCAGGCTAGCATCATATTCTTGATGTTCCTCCTGCCTCCGTCTCTACAACGCTGGGGTTCTGGGTGTGTGCTACTGCCTCCAACACACTATCTGCTGTAGACGGAAATAGGTTAGTTCCAAGTTTCAGAGGATGAAAGGTTTCCATATATGTAAATTCTTGGATTAAGACCCTGTATCTTGGGTTGGAGAGATGGCTCAGCGGTTAAGAGCACTGGCTGCTCTTCCAGAGGTCCTGAGTTCAATTCCCAGCAACCACATGGTGGCCCACAACCATCTCTAATGAGATCTGACATGCGGTATACAATAATAAATAAATACATTTTTTAAAAAAAAGACCCTTAATCTTGTATTGTTACATATGTGTCTGTTGTTACTAGTATTAGAGTCTAATTAATTAGAGACTAAGAAGAGGCATTGGCACCAAGTCTATCCAGAAGAGGATGGAAGTCCAGACAGGAACCGGAAAAGGGGGTTACATTTTAATCCCACTGAATGGCCAAAACCATCTTGGAAGTGGTTATCGCCAGGCCTGCCTTGCAGATAAGGAAACTGAGGTTCCCAAAGGTGGTGTAAGCTCCAGAGAACGCATATCCCTAGTGGCAGGGCTGGAATGGAAGGCCAGGTCACATGGCTCCAAAGTCCACACTTTCAACAGCCCGAGCTGCCTCTCTGTCTGGCAGGAAGATAAGCCGTGTACACAAATAGCTGTAATCCGAGGTAGAAAGTGATAAGTGCCAAAAGGGACGATAAAGGCTCTGGGAGGGTTTGAGAGGGAGGCAGGCTGCCCAAGGCAGGAAGAGAGGGAGGCGGCGGTCAACACAGGCTTGGGCGAGTGGGTGTCATCGGTGTGAGTGGGGTCTGGGAGGTGGACAGGCAGGGTAGGCGGAACCAGGGGATCTAAGATATAGCCACAGGACCTAGCACCATGGCGTCACCAGGGCCCAATAAATATTTGTGAAAGGAAGGGAAGGAAGGAGAAGAGCAGAGAAGAAGGCGGCTGTACCATCTCTGCTAAGCCCAGGATCTACCCATCTCACGGGGCTCGGATCAAGGTGTGAAGGGCTGCATGTGGACGATGAAGTATTTTGCTCAACGTCAGGAAGAACTTTCCAGCAAGTTAAGCTGGACCAGGGTTCTCTTCGGGGCAACTCTGTGTTGCAGCCTGCTGGTGCTGGCTTAGGAAAGGCGGCAGTTAAACTTTCACCAAGTGTGTGAACTGCTAAGCAGGCAGCACCAGGCCACCATGGAAGGACTATTTACACTAAGGGAATCAACAGATACTACGAGTCAGGTTTTCCCCAGTCTGGAGAGCCAGATGTTAAACATTTACTAGCACACACACCGCTGGGCAGAGGTCTGCCTCTGTGAAGGAGCAAGCAATCTATCTCCTCCAGAAAGGTACAGGAAGCAAAAAATCAAAAACAAAAATGAATTCCTGGGAAGAACGGGGCTAAGGTGCTCTTGCTCAGTGAGGGGGTTCAAGTCAGATGACCTGAGAAGCCCCTCTCTGGCTTCAAGTGCCCGTGAAAAGTTGGGTTTAAGAAAACACTGTACCAGGATAATTACTCATGCCAGGAAATCATTAACCACTTGACCTAGAAGGTGGGAATAGGGCAAGGACCTAGAAACCAGGGGAGAAGCTACGTGCTTACAGATGTCAAGAAAACCTTTCTTAGTCCACAGAGCCAGGAAGAAGCAACCCTAGGGCAAGAGAGAGCCTATGTCTCCAATACCCTGGGTCCAGGGCTCCTTCTGAGGCACGTGGCTGAACCTCTGGGAACAGGAGTCTCTGCATGGGATCTGTTTGACTGGTTTCCTCCATCAGAATGTCAGATGAGGGGGCAGCATGGATCACATCTGCCCTCCTCTTTGTTGGGTCCCTAGCACTTAGCTCTGTGCTCGACATAGCTTAGAGCCAATATTTGTTGAATGAATGAAAGTGTCTGAGATCCTGTCTCCCAGCAGCATCTGGGGACAGGAGTGGCATCTTTTGAAAACATCACTACTACCTGGGTCGGTAACACTGAATCAAGTTATCAGGATTCAAATCTTGACTAGACGCCTCCCCGCCCCCACAACACACACACACACACACACACACACACACACACACGCACACGCACACACGCACACGCACACACACACACACACACACACACACACACACACACACACACACACACACACACCTGTATGATACTGGCCAAACCACCAAGCCATTTTCTTCTTCCACAAAGTGGGTTGTGCAGTCTGCCTGCCTCCTGAGGCTGTTGTGGCACTTGTGTGGGACAGAAAGTGCTCTTTACAATCTCAAAAGTGCTATTCCCAGGGGAGGAGGGAGCTCGAGAAGCTAACCTTGGCAGGAGCTACTTTGTAGACCCTGACCAATGACCGGAATGTTGGTCTTGCCGGGCTGATCACTGGAGTAACCTGGGACAGAGTGGCCCAGGGCCTGGGAAGGTCAGAGTTCAGGTGCAAGAGGGATCTCTTAAAAGGGGTGTGAGCAAAAGGAGACAGCCATGGAGTCTTGGAGAGCCCTTTCCAAAGAGCAAATGGGTAGCTGTCTCAGCAGAGAGCCGTCTGATGTGCCTCCGGGGTCCCAGTCCTCTACCCCTGCAGATGGCATACCTTCCTGGGAGTGGGTAACCACGCCTGCTGTGTTCAGCCTGGAATCGAACCAGTGTTTAAAGTGATGTTCTACAAGAGAGAGATTTGCAACACCCTCAGACACGTACCCACAGTTCTTTCTTGGTAGGGTGGGGGTCTGCCTGCCAGGGAAGAGGTCCAGCTCACCCAAGGCTGCAGTTGCATGATGAAGGGAGGCATGATGGAGGCAGTGGTCCTCCAGCCCTCCCCGTGACATCTGATCCTTGCAGAAGGGGTGAGGCCAGGCCTCTGGGTGGCCGGCTCCTGCTCCATCCTATGCAGCTGGGTCCCGGTTCTATTTGTCACCAGCTGCAGTTGAGAACAATGTCTTAGTTTCTCTTCTTTCTTCTCTCTCATTTTAATTGAGGGGAGAAGAAGCCACTCGCTGAGCAGCTCAGCATCATCAAGGCGCCTGGGACTGTGCATCCTTCAAAAAGAGCACAGTTGCAAGGTGCAGGAATGCCAGTCACTTTGGGAGCCTGGATACTAATCCCGCCTTTGCTGTTCAACACCAGTGATTTTTCTTCCCTAAACCTGAAGAACGGCATCTGGGCAATCCTTCATGGGAGCCTGGTCTGTCCATGTGTGTCTCTGTCTCTGCTGTACTTGACTGCTTGTAAAGTAACTGGGTGACAGTATAGAGCAACCTCTATTCTACCTCTAGAGGTGGGGGGACTGGGTGGTTTCCACCATGAGGTGTAACACTGGCAACTGAGAGTTCCTATGCCTCAGTTTTCTTATCAGTAAAATGGAGCCATTAGTACTAATTCTCAGCTCACGTGAGGACCAGAACTCAAGTGCATGAGCTACTGAGGACCTGCCCACAGCAGGAACTTAACAGGCAGTCTCTACCGTCATACTGATATGGAGGCAGTCTGGCAGCATTCAGGGATGGAGGTGATGTAGACGGCTTGGCTGGTGGTATCATCAGAGTAGGCTCCTGAGCAGGTGGCTGCAGACATGGACTGGAAGGCTGGGATGGGTGTGTCCTAGGAGACAAAGGGAGCGTGCACAGAAGCAGGCAAGGAGTTGTACGCATGTGATGGCGGTACTTCTGGAAGCCACCGAGCATGAAGAACCTGAAGACAGGTTAGGGCAAGAGGGTGTAAAAAGCATGCATATGTGAGACGTCAGGCCTGAGCTCCTTTGCAGGGTGAAGGTGCTGCAGGATGAAGGCAGGAAGCCACTGTACTCCACCCCTGGCATGCTGCATTTATCTCCCCAGCTGGCCTTCATACACCAGTCCCAGCTTGCTGTTTGGTGGAGCGCTGGCGTCGGGAGAGGGTGCTGCAGGAAGTGGCCCACCTTTCATGCTCTCTCTGTACTTCCCAGTCCTGTGGCCCAGTGAAAGCCACCGCCTCCCTCTGTGTCATCTCAGTCACCCAGAGAAGTGCCATTGTGAGGATCAGAGGATGACAAGACAAGATGGCACGTCCCAGCTGGGTGTGGTGGCTCACAGCTGTAATCCTAGCACTCGGCAGACACAGAACTCTGAGTTCAAAGGCCAGCCTGGGCTACACAGCAAGACTTCGTCTCAAAGTGCCCCACCTCCATGAAGAAACCAATACAAATAAGTCCTAGCTGATCATATACTGGGAATCTTCTTAGGATGCCTCAGTTGTCTAGTGTTCAGAGAAGGGAGGAGAATCTAGCTGGAACATAGAGGCTCCATGCTAGAGGGTACAGGCTTTCTGTGGTGGATCAACTATCTACTCCTATGAGGTATAGGTACAGAGCTGGGCAGGATCCAAAGGGTCCCGGTCCAACCACAGGTGAAGACTAATTATGTTCCCATTACTCACTGTCTAGGAAGGGCTTAGACAGAGATCTAGCAGGTGCTTATATCTTCCCCCAAAGCACTTCAAAAATCACCTCAGCTGTACCATACTTGGTCATGAGATGAGCTCAGGGGTGCGGCCACACCTGGAACCCTACCCAACCCCCGACCCCCAGCAGCCAGTCAACCTCTGTGCTCTTCCTTCGGCCTGGAGACACAGAAGGAGACGGAGTGCCAAAGCACCTGGCCCACGGGAGCAGCGAGATGGATTTTCACATACCTTTTGGCTCCAGGAGGAGAGAGGCAGGAACTGGTACCTGCATGCTTGTTCCTACCTCAACCCACTGATGGCAGCCTGGTCCAGAGGTCATACTCGCTACACCCTGCCTGCACAGATCCTCTGCATACTCAGGTTGCTCACACCTCCCATCACAGCCTTCCTCCTGACCCTTGGACTTCCTGCTTCCTGGGACCCAGGCTCAGGTCCCACCTAAGCAGTGGCTCTCTTCCTCAGACTTGATGGTTCTATGAGGGTAGGAAACAAGAGGTACTTAGGCCTGATGGGAAGGTGGGTGTAAGCTGAGATTGCATTGCACAGTCCACACTCTGGTGGGTACAGACACTGCCTTCAGAGCCAGGGGGGAATACAGGAACCTTCACCCATCAGGCAGAATGCACTTTCCACCTCTCTGTTTCAACCCAGGCCTACTGCAGCTGAGGCCGAGATTGGGAACTCAGGGCATAGAGAACAGCAAGGCTTGATGGCTGCTATGAGATCTAGCCTTTAGTTTATAGAGGGCCCAGAAAGGGAGAACAACTCGTCTAGGGCCACACAGAATTTCTGGCTAAGGGTGCAGAGCTTGGGTTGTTGGCTCACAGGAAGCCACGTTAATGAGGGCCTGAACAGCGTGGGGATGGTATTTACAATCCTCTTTTCTTTGGAGGGGATAGTAATGTCCCTAACTCCAGGCAATAAGTTAATGCCTATGATGTCCTCACTCAGCACATAGTAGGCACCAAATAAGTCATACCTTCTAAGACTCCAGAGGGAGCCAACCAACAGGACTAGCAGCTTCCTGGGCAGAGGAATAGAGAGAACAATGGCCTGGGATCCCCAAGGCTTGCAGCCTGGGGCCCTCACAAGTCTGATTTCTCAGACTTCTTGCCCCCAAGGTGCCATGCTTGGTGGACTGACTGGGAAAGCTGAAAACAAGGTTGACTCTGTCTTGCTGGGCTCCTCTGCCCTCTGCAGCCATTTCCGGGTTTCCAGATTAACATGTTGGCTAGAAATAAGGGGTGGGGGAACCAGCAAGATGGCTCATCTTTGGGAAAGGCTTTTGCTGCCAAGCCTGAGGATCAATCCCCAGGAAGGACCTACATTGATACACGGGGAGAAGTGATTCCCAAAAGCAGTTCTTTGACCTTCATGTGTATCCCTCTCCTCAAATAAATAAATACAATGCAATTTTTAAGAAAAAAAAAGGGGGTGGAGCCTTCTGGACAGGAGCTTTTGAACATGAATGTTCACCTGAGGTCACCATTTCCTCCACTTCCTGGAGGTGGCTAGCTCTGGTTACTTACAGAAGGATTTGGAGAGGTTTGATGACCCAGGTGGTCATCAAGGCCAACAGGCCTGACCCAGGTGTTGGTTGGGGCTGGATTCTTGCATCCCAAGTCTGACAGGGACTTAGGTGCTGGGGATGGAGGTGTCCTTCTGGGTGTACCAATGCTGTGAAGGTCTGAGGGCAGGATGGCTGTGGCTCCATTTAGAAAACGGAATCCTCACCTTTCAAGTCAAGCTGTCCAGGATTTCTCAGACTACCCTTCCCAACCTTGGCCACCCACAGGCTGTGGTGTGTGTGTGTGTGTGTGTGTGTGTGTGTGTGTGTGTGTGTGTGTGTTCTTGGAAATGTGCTGGGACCAGGCCATTCCAGTGTCCCTAGAGGTCTGGAAATGGTTTCATGCCACCCACTTTCCCCAAGGATACTCATCTGCCACCTGTGGGTGGGTAGTGGAGCAAGTTGCTAACTGTTCATCCTGTGTGACAGGTCCGAGGACCGAGGTCCAGGAGCACCGCCCCACCCCGACCTCCATCCCGCAGCCAATGGCAGCAGGAGGCAGAATTTGTCTCGGGAGAAGTAGTTTCCCCACACTCAGACACCCCCTGCCCCACGTCCCTGTGGATCTGAGCCGCAGTCTGCCCTCAGGAATTCCAGGCTGAGTTCACCGCTGCCAGACCCGTCAGAGCTTTGAGCATGAATTCAAAGCCAGCAAACGCACTTTGCCTCCTTGTCTTAGTGGTGGAAGGAGTGATCTCTCTGGCCCTGAAGGAGTTCAAGCCGAGGTCAGAGCAGCCAGCCCTCCTAAGGATATTCTAAAATGGGGGTCTGAGGTGCGGGGAGGGGGGAGCGCTCCCGCCTGCTCCCCCTGTTGGCCCGCGGTGCGCTATGATCACCGCCCAAGAGGCTCAGGAACCCGCGAGTCTGCGTGACACGTCTGCGCTCCCATGCGGACCTCGTCAATCAAACTGCGGCCCTGGAGAGGCCAAGACTTCTTCCGCCCGCCCCAGGCCCCGAGGAAGACCCCCCGCCCCGGCTGCCTGCCCGAGCCCGCCCCCAGCGGTGTCATTGTTCTCTGACGTCACGCGGCGGCCCCGCCCCTCTCCCCCCCACTTTTCCTCCCCACCTCCGGTTCTCCCGGCTAGCCGCCAAGCAGCCTCCGACGACCCGGCAGTGCAGGGCTCCCCCCGCGGCCCGGCCGGGGCTGCGCCCCCTTGCGCTCTTCCCAACTTGCCTTTGTTATTCCAGCTCCCTTCCTCGCCTTGCCTCCGACACCACGGCTGCCTGCAAAACGCGGAGCACGGAGCAGTCGCCACACCTGGATTGCCTAGCGGGCTCCGGCCCAAGCCTCCCCCGCCTGCCCGGGAGGGGAGTGCGTGCGTGCGCGCGTGTCCAACCCAGGCGCTTGTTATCCTTAGGACCCGAGTACCTCTAATCAGGAAGGGGGTTTGAGGAAGGGATGTGGAAGCGTTAGGGGAACATGTGCTTGTATGTGTACGTGAGCGTGAGATGCAGTGCACGGGGGAATGCCTCGTGGTTTTGTTTTTTGTTTTTTTTTTTTAAAGCGTACCGGAGGTGGTGTACAGCGATGTTAATGTGTACAATTGTATGAATCCGGGTGTACGGGCATATCTGGGATGGAAAGTGTGTGTGCAAGTGTGTTGGAGGGGCAGTATGCGTGCTCTGCTGAGGGTAGGCGCAAACGTGTGTGCCGTTTGTGTAGGAGTTTCTGTGTGAGTGGCAATGGACATGAGCCAAAGGGAGTGCGCACTTGGATACTCTCGGGGGCGGGTCTGCGAGGGGAACCCCCGCGAGTGGGCGCACCTAACTGTGCTTCGTGAGTGCCCTCCGCCACCAGAGGAGTGGTTGGTGCCCAGCCCTGGGCTGGGAGCTGGACTGGGTTCTTTCCACCTCTGCAGCGCGAGAGCGCTCGGCTCGTGGCGCCCCAGGCGCTCCCAGCAAGGCACCGGGGCGTTCTTGAGTCTCTGAACTTCGAGTGGGGTGGGGACATATGGTTCGCTCTGCATCCCTCGCTCCTCCTCAGAGGTCAAGGGAGGCCCCCTTTAACCTCCTACGTCACCAGAGGTGGTGAAGGTTAGGGTCGTCTCACCCTCTCTCTGCCACACGGTTTTAGGAATAATCCCAAAGTCTCCGGGGATTCTTTGCACACCTCTCGTTAGCAACTCGGTCACCCCAATTCGGTTGGCTGACAGCACCTGCGGCCCCAGTGTACTCCCGTAGGGGACCAGCAGGAAGCGGGGTACGCCTCCGGGCAGTAATTTTGCTCCTACCAATGCGGTCCTTTCCTAGGCACATTAGTCTCCCCACTCTAAACTTACGGGATTGAGGGGGTGTTAAAGAGCGGCGTAGGGAGGCGAGAGGAGGGACCGAGAGTGAACCAGCGGCATGGCGTGTGGGGGTAGCGCGGAGCCTACCAGAGTCGGGAAGAGAAAAGCTTAGAGAGAGCAGAGACCTGGGAACAGGAAGAAAGGGAGGGAAAGAAGGGAAAGGAGAGAGAGAGAGGCGGAAAGGAAAGGGAGAGCGCAGCGAGCGCGCAGATGGAGAGCGAACCAAGGCAAGCAGAGCTGAGCGCTGGAGGCGCGGCGCTCCGCTCCCGCGGTGAATCCGTGCCGGCTTTTGCGGGAGGCCGGCGGCGCGGGGCCCTTTGGAAATAGAATAGCCAATGTAATCTGACACTTCAACTTGCTCGGCTCCGGGCGAGTTGATTCACTTACTCACCCCCTAACGCCGAGTTCCTTTTCACTGTCTGTGGACATTAAAAAAGCGAGCGGCGGCGGCGGGCGCCGGGGAGAGCGAGCGGCCGGGCGGGCGAGCAGTGATCGGGCCGCAGAGCAAGCGAGCAGCGCCGGCGCAGCGCAGTGACCCCAGCCCCGGCCGGCTAGGAGCCGGAGCGGGAGTCGGAGCCGAGCGGATCTCCGCACTCTCCCTGCGCTCCTCCCGGCTCCAGCCGGCCCTACCCGGCGGTGGCGGCGGCGCGTCCTCCAGCGGTGGCAGTGGTGCTCGCAGCGCCCGGTAAGTTTGGGGACAGAGCCAGGCGCCCGTTAGCACTGAGGCTTCCTCCAGCTCCCCGCGGATCGTCGGGGTGCGAGCGCCGGGTGCTGTACTAGGGTTTTCCGTTTAGAGGCTTAGCTCCGGCCGGGCGAAAGGCGCCAGCCGTGCGGGCTCGGTGCGCTGCCCTGGCCGCCGGGGGCGGAGGCCCTGGCCACCAGCGAGCGCCGAGCTGCGTAGAGCGGCTCCGACTGAGCGCGGGGACGGAGGGAATCGTCGGGTGTGCGGGGCGCCGGTGCGGTTTGTGGGCGCGCGGACTCGGTGCCCGCCTCCTGCCGGCGCACCTCCAGCCGTCCCTCCGAACACTCGGGGTCCGACCGGGATACGGATTCCGAGGAGGGAGGGAAGGACCCGGGAAGGACTGGCTGAGTCTCCCTCGCCTCCTTTGGAAAGATGTGAAGTTGTGCTCCTGGGTGCGTAGGAGAACCGCCGGGAAGGCGCTGGATTCCAGGGTGGCCAAGGTTGGTGGTGTTAAGTTGTGCCTCCGAATTTCTATGGAGAACACACTTTAGTACATGGGAGATGGGGGCGCGGTTAAGTTGTTTTGCGGGGAGAATGGCCCAGGAAAACGCGGCGCGTGGCTGGAGCAGGGCACGCCGAGTGGAGTGTGTCTAGGCTTCCCGTTCGGGCTTCGGAAGCCGAAGGGGCTTTCAGGCCAACGCCTGGCTGGGGCTGCCCCAGCCAGGAGGCGAGCCCAAGGGGGAAGATGTGTCTGTGTGTGCGCGCGCGCGTTGCAAATACGAAAGTAATTTCCCCGTGTTCTTTCTTCCTTTCTGTCTCCGGCGGCGGTGGCCCCGGGGGAGTGGTAGGCTGGCCCGGGTGGAGGTTGAGGGGCCGGGCTGGAGCTGAAGCTAGGGTCTGGATGGTGGGGGCAAGCTCTGAAAGCTTGTTTCACATTCCTGGTGTCGGAGCTGGGGAGAAAACAGTGGGGAGCACGGCCTCGGTGTCGCGGTGCAGGCTGCGGGAGCGCGTCGCCCCCTGGCCGGGGACATCTGTCCAGGAAGCTGGCCAGGCGGGGAGAGGGCGCGGTGCAGAGGGCAGGCTCCCCGCCCTGGAGCGGTGGGGGCGCAGGCGAGGGGCGGCCGCCTCTCCCGGCCATTGTGCGCCAGCAGATTTTCACGGGAGACTGCCCCGAAGCCGCCGGAGAAGGCCAGGAGCCGGCCACAGCCCCGGGTTTAAAAGACACTCCAGGAATGTAAACAACCCGGGCGGGAGGGCTAGCGGACTGGAGCGCGCCAGGACTGCGGGCCTGGGCCCCCCACCCTCCCTCGGGGACAGCGGATCGAAGCGGCCACTCTGCTCTTTCCTCTACCTGCCGCAAACTTTTCCCTCCTCTGCTTTACAGTTCCACCTTGTGCCTCCAGCCCCGAGCTGGGCTAGGGCCTTTCCCATAACCCGGCTCAGGGAGCCTGGTATCCGGCACCGACCGGGAGGCTAGGCGGCCAGATCCCTGCTTCGATGCCGGGAGCCCGGGAGACGTCTGCCCCGGGAGCTGCAGCTCCTTGGGCTAGCAGTGCTAAGAGTAACTGGGACTGGGAGCCTGCCCGCCTGGATTGCTTGCTCGCTCTCTCCCGCCCTCCTTCCCGCGGCTCCTTCCCCCGCTCTCCCCCTTCCCCTTTCCCCTGACTGCTTTTCCAATGCCCTGACATGAGGGAGGAAGATTTAACTTGGCAGCCCAAACAAATGTTCTCTCTGAGATCTCCAAGAAGCTGGCTGGCGGCTGGGCTGGCGGGGTGAGTGCACCGCTCGGCCAGCCTTTCCCTCCTCTCGGCACTGCCAGGGACATTTGGAGCCCCGTGGGTGGACAGCCCTGGGCATGAACAGTGGAGACCAACCCCCGGGATTTGAAAGGGCGGTCAGTGGGCTGCGCCTGTGAAAGCCCCTGCCTTGGCGCTAGCTACATAGAGAGCCATTGGCTCCAGCTGCCTCCTGGTGCCAATGGTTTTCTGAAGGGTTTTCTTGAGCAACAGTTTGCCTCTGCTGCAACCTGGGAACTGGGCCTGGTAGACCAGAGGGTTAACTAGTGCAGTCTCCTCCCTCCCTCGTGGGTGTGAGGACAGGCTGGTTACACAGGGCAGGGCAGGAGGCCAGAGGCTGTTCCCAGAGGTGCCTGGTTTTGCTTATTGTTTTTTTGAAGGTACAGATAAAGGGATGGTGGCTGGGGCTGGAGAAACAGGCGACTTGGCTGCTGGTGGATTCCGACCTGCCTCCCTGTGCTTGTTGGGTGACTAGAGTGTGGAAGAGTTGCCTGTGAGCTATTTGGGAAGTTTAGATGAGGGAGCAAACCCATGGCCTTTTCTTATCCGGGCTGGTTTTTGAAGAGGTCCAAAGCAGGGGGAATTCCTGGCCCCTTGCTTGGGACCTCTGGCCGCTGAGCAGAGGCAGAGGGTTTGTGAACACCCCCGGGAGCCTTGTGCTGACCTTTCCCTCTTGAAGAAGAGGATGTCGAAACACCAGCATCAAACAAAAGGCACATTGAAAGCCCTATCTGCCTAGGAGCGCGTGCGGCTTTGGGGCTAGGAGTGCCTTTAGAGGGAGATGGTGTTTTCCTCTGGGTTTATGATTTGGGTTGTTTTGTTTTTCCCCCAAAAGACAGAAGCATCACTGGTCCCAAGTCACACGGTTAGGAGACCTAGTTTTCTCCTATGAATCAGAAGTTTAGACTTGAGAACTTGGTGACTGAGGCTGGGGGAGGAGCTACAGGCTTTCCAGGACTTGAGCTGCGGTTGTAAGACTTTCTGAGTACTGCTCCCAGGCTCACAGAAGGGACTGGACTTACGAAAAAACTTTGAATAAATAGCCTTGTCTGTGCAGAAACGGCTGCTGGCTTCTTTGTGGGGACAAAATGTTCTTTTTTTCCTCCTAAGGAAAAGTGTGTGTGTGTGGGGGGGTGGAATCCAGGGGCAAATAGA